AAAATAACTGTTTTTTTATTTAATTTTTCTGTTTTCTGTTGGTTCTAGATGCATGAATTGTTCATTACAGACACATTGGCATTGGAAGAAAATAAATGTTGATCATATGCGACAGAAATGTGTTGCCAAGCAAATCTCTACCATCTAGGCCGTTTGTGAGTGTATGCTCATTTTATTTTATATTTTCAAAATAAATGGTTAAATTTTGACAATTCTTAGGTTTGTGGTTGTTTTTGTGCAATCAATGGACCTTTCACTGCTTTATTTGAGATGGCTTTCATTCCACTTCTATCCTTCCTTCATATTTGAAAGCTTTGGAAAGCAGAGGAATTTGGGCAATTGTGATAATTTTAAACTATGGATGGCATCCACAAATTGGGTGCTCAGACTACAACCAAAAATGTGATATAGAGAAAGCACAAGACTGTTCATGAGGGGGGAGAGAGAGAACTTCCTTAGTAAAAACCAAAGCAGGGAGATCTCTGTAAGGCCGAAAGGAAAGAAAAAACCAATAAAGTCGAAAGACAAAATTTCACATAGAAATTTGGGGTGCTCGGGAACAGTTTGTTGGTTGGCTTTCTGAGGGCCTGGTGCTGAGCATTCATCTCTCTGTTTTTCTTGCTCTATTTCATCAACGTCTGTTTCTCTCTCTTACTAAAATATGGGGCAAAATCCCCTTCTCATATCTTCAGAATCTCTTCAACTCTATCTATCTCTAGGATTACCTTGTATGCTCTTTCTCTCTCTCACACTCACTCTAAAGGGGGCTGATTTCCTCACCCTTTTTCATTTCTCTCCTTCCTCCCCTTCCTCCCTCCCTCTCTTTCTCCCCCATCTCCTTTTCTCTCTAATCTCTCTCTAAAAGGGGGCAGAGGTCTGACCCCTTTGTCATCTCTCTCTATCATGTTGAGAGAGATCTGTGACAAAGAGAGAGTGTGAGAGATTTCTGAGATATATAGAGAAAGAGATGATTTGAGAGAGATCACAGAGAGAGATCTAAGAGAGAGAAATAGAGAGAGGAGCAATGAGGGAGAGAGAGACATAGAGGAGTTGTGATGGGGAGAGAAATCAAATAGAGGGAGAGAGAGTTGTGAGGGAGATTGAGAGAAGAGAGAGAGAGAGAGAGATAGATAGATAGAGATAGGGAGAGAGAGACGACGTGGCCAAAGGGTTTGGTCATGTGCCGAGGGCCCACCCTCTCTCACTCTCCTGGGCACATGGCATAAGCCCTCTCTTCTCCTTTTTTATCTTTTCACTTTTTTTCTTTTTTTTAAACTTTCCATCCATGCTCACTACTCGCCTGAGTATCTTGGCTTCGGGCTAGGTCCAAGTCCTTGGCCCTAGGCGATTCTCAAAACACAAAGAAATCTATAAATGCAAGGGCTTGTTCCTATTCAACCTTTCAGCTATGTTTTATCACGAATAACTAGTCATGAATTTGTATTTTAGCATTCTCTAATTTTGTTAATAATTAGTTTATATCTTTTGATAGTTTAGGAAAGCTTGCTTGTAAAGTCCAGGTTACTGTATTATTCCGTTCTTTTTAATATTATGTTTGTGCTCACTGGTGTAACCCTATTCATTAAATTATTCTGTTTTCAGCAGCTGTTTTGCTTGAGTTTCAGGGTTTGTCGTGGGAAATCCGTCTGACACCTCATTAGAGTTGGAAATTGTTGCCATGTCATTTCACAATTATCTGGTATTCTTCCTTCAACTTTATTCTGCTCTTGATATTCATTCCTTTAAATTGACATGGTGTAGAGTGATTCATTCATCAAGATAATATATGATAGTCTTTAGATATTAGTGGCATTGCTTGCCAACCTATCTTCTTTGATAATTTCTTTTTGGGTGTGTGTTGGGGGGTCGGGGGGGGGGGGGGGGGGGTTTGCACATGTTTGTGTTTATGGTGCCCCACAAGTAATGACAGTTTTGTGTATTTTCTGTTGTAGGGGCTTTATCCAAGATGAGTTTTAGGATCAGCATCTGATTCTTTAAGCATGGTAAGTTTTTGTCATAATTTATATTTATTATAATGGTTTTCTCGCCATTTTGCATTTCATGTGACCCTTCATGAAAATCATTGTTATCAAGAGGAATGTGAGGCACCATGAATCTTCCTTTGTCTTGCCTGGTGTTGTAACCTTTATTGAACTGTATACTCATTCACATCTTTGTTTGGTATCTCTTTTGAGATGATGTTCACTTGATTTCTTGATTTAGAACTACTCACCTTTTCACATCTGTGCAGGACATTGAAACAACTTTGGCATGTGTGATATTTTGTCTGCCAGTTCTCTGATATCCATGTTTTCTGTTCTAGTGGCGTTTCCAACCTTGTTTTCTCTAGCATCATCATAGTTTGTAATAATTCTTGGATATTCATGCATCTCGTTGTAGTTGCACTTCCAATCCTTGTTTGTGTCACATTGATTTTGCTTCTACCATTCCATGTTTATTTTATTGAGTTCATAATTATATGTTATCTAAATCAAATATAGACACACTTGTATGTCATAAATCCCAAATATATGTCATCGCCTAATAGTATGTTGTGGCAGGAATTTTGTCATGTAAAATTTCTCCGTGTCATGATATTCATAGCTTCTTATTTTTGCGCTTTTTTTTTTTTGTCTTGGGGCTTTCCCTGAAGCCTGAGTTGTTTTTCTCATTCAGAATTACATAATTGGAGCTTTCAAGCCACCATGCAACATATCAATATCATTTGCTGATGGAAGAACTCGAAAACAGGTACTATGTTCATATTGTGTAGTGAAAACCTAAATTCTTGTTGATCCTTTCAGCAATCTTTATCAAATTCTTCTTTCCTCTTTAATTTGAAAGCTCCATCTTATCCAAATTTTGAATGCTGACTCTTGCATATCACTGTTTGGAGGATTATATTTGATCAATGCTAGGTGGAATCTTCCAGACAATTATATACTTTTCATTCCCATTTCTTGGCAGGCAGTACTTTTCATATTTCTTGTTAGCTTTTCCTGTAATGAATATTGGTTTATTTTCAAGGATTTTGATTATGATCATTAACGATGGTTATTTTTGATGTTTTTAAAGGATATTTGAATTTACTGTTGTTACACTCGCCTCTTCTAATTGATGTGGATTTGCTCTCTCAAGGAACAGTTTCCTTGATGAAAAAAGAATGTTACCCTATATCTCAATCGTGTTACCATTATGTATTCTAGTTCAACTGAGTACTTGTGTTATTGAGTGGTAGGGTTCATTCATTGCATACATGATAGGTGCTAAAAATGTCTGCCTATATCCCAATTTGGACCATCGACCACATCTCATAGAGTCTAGTATGGGATGATGTTCTTCATCTCCCTTTAGTTCAACCTGCTATTGGTAGGGAATCCAGAGATAAGAGATAATGCCTAAATGCAATGCTGATTTAACGCTTTCTGTTTCTTTTCTTTTTTAGTTGTTCTGTTTTATATTCGATAGATAGCCTGGGGCTTAAGCTGTCAACTTCAAGGATTCAACAATGGTTGCCTTCCAATTGAGCCTTGGGTTATCAGTTGAGGTGGAATGATTTTTCATTATTTTGGATTTGGTTATATATGAAATTCATAAAACGCTTCAAATGCTAAAAGAGAACTTTAAGATTTCAGATAAGGAAATGTTTGGTGGGATTGAAAATAATAGGAAAACTTCTCTTCTGGGGGAAATCAATTTCTTTATATTGATTATTGGAAAGAGAAGGACCGATGGCAGAGGGCAACGGAATGATGGGGATGTGGGATTTAAATCTCAGGGCTCAGGGTACATTGATATAAAAGTAGATTAGCGGGATCCAAAGTCTGAATATGATGGCTGAAGGGAAAAGACATTGATATTTGTTTTCTCCTGAGATGAGTTTTTTTAGGCATGGCACTGATGGATTGTAGGGCTTAATATAGGAGCCAAGGGAAAAGGTTTGTGCTGATTTTTTTTTCAAAATACTGTACTTTGCTGAATGCTGAAAAGCTAGAAACTGTGGGTGCTGTATGCTCTGAAGAAATTTTGAGTACAGAATAATATTAATAGCAGGTTTGAAAAGGTTGAAGCGATTCTTCTAGAAAGTGAGGTTGAAGATGTAGTGTTTCCTATGGCAGAGGATGTGGTTCTAGAAGCTAGTTGTTTTCTTGTTATCAAATGCGGCTGCATAACGCTTTATGAAGGTGCATCAAGCATTATGCGGCGTGCACTGCATCGAGGACCCCATGTATGATGCACACACATATGTGGTGCATCACTTTGTTTGTGTGCCATCCTCTGCTTTTGAGTAGATTATACGATAATACTCCAACAAGCAGGTTAATATAGTATTTTCCCCCAAAAAGTGGGGGGGAAAGATTTTTTTGTTTTTTTTGGTCTGGGGTGTTTTTTTGATTGGGGGTGGGGGCGGGGGGTGGGGGGTGTTAGTCTTAGAGATTGAAATCATTTTTTTTTTTCTTGAATCTGAAGTTTTTGGAAAAAAAAATTGGGGTTTTTGTGGACGATTGTTTAAGGGTTTTGGGTATTGTTGTTTTGAAGGTTTGGGGGCGAGGATAAACCAAGTATGACTCCACTGATTGTGAGTTGAGACATTGAATGTAATTTTTGTCTTTTCTATTTTATATGGAATGAATTTCTAATCTTTGGAGTTTAGACTTGGAGTTAGGATGCTAATTGTGTTCCTGGTTAGTTGTGATTAAGAAGTACTTTTGGTCTTTGGATGTTATGTTAAGAGTCATAACTCAATGACTGTTTGGCATTCGAGTTTTCTTTATTTAATTTAATGAATGGGATGGATGAATTTCTTTGTTTTAAATGTTAACCCTATTTGACTATTAGTCAATAATAGAGACAACACACTATGTTACTTTTTATTAGGCTATCTGGGGATTTGGACAGCTAAAATATTAGAGATAAGTACTAAATTGAAGTGTCTACTATCACAAAAATCACACAAGCATGTTTTTATGCTCATATATTTTTTTAATTTTTAATTAATTTATTGACGATATTGGGGATGATGTGCTCACATTGGGACTGCCTTGTGGCATTGTGGTGCATCTGACTTACCACCACATTGAGTCTGCATGCTGCATTTGACTGCGCTGGTTTGAGCTTCGAAGTATATCTGTTGTATTAGGCAGTAAGTGATAAAGATCATGATTACTTCTATTGGTATATTATCAGTCACCTGTGTTGTTATTACATTTTATGGCTTTGTTTTTATATCGATCTCATGGTTAAAATTTTTTTGCCAGACTATTCAAGTACTAGTTTGATATGGAAGCTGTTATGATCTATTTATTTATTTTATTATTTTTCCTCACCTTCTTGTATTCTTGTATAGGTTCCTTTAAAGAAGGAAAATGGCCAAACTGCATTGGTCCCCCTTTTCCAAAGCCAGGAGAACATTGTTGGGGAGGTACGTTACTTGCTCCTTAGGCAATGTGTGGCAGCCGAGTTGTCCGCCGACTCACGTCAGTAGCAATAAATTGTGGAAATCTTTCTAATATTTTTCGATTTATAGAGATCATGTTTTTATTCCTGTAGTGGAAAGGATTTTAGCTAACGTACATGGGTCTATTTTTTGTCATCAACCTACTTTTACTATTTTGGTCAAGGGATGCTTGTAGTGTTCGTTTCTCTGCATAATATGGTTGTTGCCATGAACTGATCATGACAGCATTCTACTTTTATTCTGCCATTTTGTCATGTGATGCAGGTCTCGATTGAACCAATCCCAGGAAAGAAGGTTGAACATAATGGTGTGAAAATCGAGCTTCTTGGCCAAATAGGTAGGTTCAATAATGAAGCTCTAGTTTAATATAGTAACTAGCAATCTGAATTATTCTAGGATCAAGAGGCCGTTTAAGACTGCATACCTATATCTTGAGGCTTGTTGAAATGTCATGTTTTATCCCTATAAAAGAATAGCACAAGACCTTTATGCTCTCATTCGGTAATGAATGATTAAATATTAAATAACAGAAGTCCAAAAATTGCAAGTGATGCATGACGAAGTGTTTTAAGTAGTTTGATGGTTGCAAGGGGAATCTAGAGCCAAATTAATCTGAATAGTGGGTATTGTACAGACTGGAGCAAAGGTTTCTTAATTCTCCAGTCGATGCTCCTAGTCATATTCCTGGGATACAACCCATCCCCCACACCTTTCCAAAGTTCCATCAAAGTATACTAAGGTGTGTGTGCAAAATATAGCTGGCAAGAGTTGGTACTAGTTACCAGCATTGGCATGTTAGGATGAAACAATTCTATCCAACTAGTTACCAGCATTGGTGAAACGATTCTATCAGATGTTATGGTTGTAGCTACCACATCTTAGGATATGACGTGAGTGCAACTATAGTACACCATGGTTGCAAGTTTGAAATTGGTCTTGGTATATGTGGATATGGCATATGTATGCCATTCTATTGCAAGTTTGAAATGGGTCTTGGTATATGTGGATATGGCATATGTATGCCATTCGTACATGGTATGTTATAAAGTATAACCACTGAAGAATATGTAGTGCAAACAGGGTTAAAAGGCTGTGTCTCTTCCTTCCAAAAGAGGGGCTTCTAGAGGGGGAACTTCTATTTTTTGTTTTGGAGTCAAGAAGTACGAAGTAAAAAGGTACTCATGGACTAGAAATGGGAGTTGTAGTGGTCCTGGAAATGTGGAACATTTTGAAAGTGTCAGTGGAAAAGCTTTGTACCATTACATGAATTGCTAGCTACTAGTATGAATGCGAAAACTGGTTTTCTGGTATATATGGTATAAGCCTTACTTCCAACACACCTCTTCCCTGGAAGTAGACACTAATGGGTGAAAAAGGGAATTTACTTCTTTCTAAGTAATCTGGTTACAGAGCATTTACCTTTATCACAAGACGCCCCGAATGCTCACTGGATTTATTGTCAAAAGGCCTACAGTATTCTGGAGTTTCTGTTCCTTCTTTGTCCATGTTATCCCCACATTTGGGTTGCTTCGTGAGTTTAATGTCCATGCTTTTGTGATTATAAATATTTAAAATATTAAGTATCAATAAAAAAGATGTTATGTATTCTTAGAGCCTTGTATTCTTTTATTTTTATTATTATTGATATTATTGGTATAATAACAGTTGCTGTATTGTTCTTTCAGAGCTTTACTTTGACCGTGGCAATTTCTATGACTTCACATCCTTGGGTAAGTGATCATAGTGTAATATGTGTCAGGCTGTCAGCATGAATATCAAGCATGATGTGGTTTCTCTGTGTGTTGTGTTGCTTTTATTTTGTAGTAGTCTAAAGTTTGTCTCTACAGAAGGTAGATTTATGCATTCTAGATGTCATTCATATCATACTTCTGATTACTATTCGTCCTTTTTTATGAGCAAAAGTGTTAGGTCCGGCCTCATATAAGACCACTGAACTTTAAAAGAAAATTTAACTTCACAGATCAGTTATCAAGCTCAGCAGTTATAATTTGTAATCTTTCACTACCAAAGTTCTCTTGATTTCCGCTTTCTTCTGGTTGTGATTCCCACGTTTTGCATGAATGCATGCGAGTAGAGAAGAAGGGTGATTCTCTCAATATCATCTAATGGTGATGTCGGTATCACCCTTCCATGAAAGAAATGTGGTCATCATGGAAGAGATTCTTTTGATGTTAGCTGTAAGTTCTTTGTCTAATTCACCATTTGTGTAGGGAGTCCAATATGGATTCCTTTGTGCAAGATGGAGTAGCTAGAACTGACGGTCCTTGGTAACTGGAGCCTCGTGATGCTTCTTTTCAAGTAGTCTTATCTGTTTGCCTTGGATTTCCTCCTGTTTCTTTTGTAATTATGTTTGTCCTTTTATGTTTTTCACTTGGTTTGACTATGAATGGATCTATGAATGTTGCTTATCAAGTGAATAAGAAACAAAAAAAGAATATGGGCTGGAGTGAGGGGGCCTAGGTCCTAGTTGGTTACATGCTTGAGGAAATGGGCAATACCCTCTGAACTACAGATGGGGTGCTTCTTACGGGTTTGAAATATGCAATGGTCCCTTCATGTTCCTGGCTGGTGTTATTATTTCATCCATCACGAATAAATTAGTGAACACAAAAGGAGTTGTTCTTTAAGAAAAAAAGGAAAAAAAAAACGAATTTAGGGAGGTTGTGCTCAGCAGCTGTAAAACATTTAGGGACTATCTAGTATAGGCTCAATTATGCGGTATTAATGTCAGATTCCTGCTATATTTCTTTAGGAAAGAAATACAGATACTATTGTTTTTTTGTGATTTCTTTTTACATGTCCATTAAATTCTCTCAATTGTATCCCACAATTTTCCGTAGCATATCTGTTTTGTGGCGTAATTCATCTGTTCTCAAAAGGTTCTATTAGAGGGATCTGCTTGAATAATTATGTGCATTTTGACTTAATTTTGTCCTTCACTTGTCTGTCTTCTACTCTTTTTAATGTCATTCTTGTGTGTAAGATGTTATTGGATGTTCACATTTTCCATAATTGAGGTGGTTTTGCTCTTGCAATGTTCTTGAATTGGCTCTTACAGCCTTTTTTTGTGCAGTGCGGGAACTTGATGTTCCTGGGGAAATTCACGACAGGAAAACGTACCCATTTGAGTTCTCTACTGTTGAAATGCCTTATGAATCCTACAATGGAGTCAATGTAAGGCTTAGGTAAGCTATCGGTTATTGTATTGGTCCTCAAATTTCAATTGTATTTGCACATTTTTAGTGATTGATTTCTTGTTTCGCAAGGTGCTGCAGTTTTTTCAAGATTGAAACAATTGAGTTATCATTATTGTTCTTCTTTTGAAGAGAACACTTGGAGTTGGTTGAAAAGGAAAACAAGAAACTTAAAGAACTAAAACGAGAATGGAAACTAACCTTGGGAGGCTAAACAAAGATTTCAAATCATAATAGCTATTGCTGATATATTACATAAAATTCTTTTGTGAATTGTGTAATTTAATGAGTCATGTCTGACTTGAAAATTTCAAGTTCAATTTTATTTTCAATTTAGATATTTTATTGAAGCTTATGATTTTTATTATGTTTGTATTGTAAGCTTAAGTATATTGCCTCCTACATGTTCTATGTGTTTCAGACTTGTGTTCTATGTTCACATCTGCAATGTGTCAAGGATCCTAGTCCATATCTGGGTCATATAGGATTGACTTCATAGAAAAGAAAAAGATTGATTATAGCAGTCACTGAAGAGAATACAGTAGAGGAAGTCATCCAAGCGTTTACCATGATTTCTATTTGGCAGGTATATTTTGAAAGTAACAATCAGTCGGAACTATGTCAGTAACATCGTGGAGTACCAGGATTTCTTGGTAAATTTCTGCCTATGCCTCACTTATTGCTTCTCCCATTTATTTGACTTACATGAATTATGTTATGTATCAGGTACGTAACTATACACCGCTTCCATCAATCAACAATAGCATTAAGGTTTGTGATGCTCTTATAAGGCTCTCTTTTATTAAGTGAATGCTTTGTGGTACATGCCAAATTCACTCAGAGACGATGTTACCACAACACGAAGCCATGGACCTGGTATGTGGACATGTTGGTACATGTCGACACGTGGTGGTGTTATATTAAAAACATTAAAAGGTTTAGTGGGAGCACTTGGGAGGCTTGATCTCAGTCCATTTTGAGGCTCAAAACACTCATGATACCCGCCTCTCAACCTGCTAAGGCGATGAAATAAAAGAGAAAATTATAGATTACACTAAAGAAAATATAATAAATTATAAAAAGGAAACGTACAGACAAGTCTAGCCATGTTGGCTTTTTAGGCCAACTTATTGGCATCTGTGGCAGTCATTGCACTGACACTGACACCGTTGTCCATGTAACACTGCTTAGAGCTAGAGATGCTATATTTGTGTTTCCACTTTCCACACTGTCCGTGAAGAAAAAATCTTATCTGTTTTCTTTCTCTGGAGCTCTTACTTTCAGTAGAAGTTATATATAATTGCTTGGGTAAGATAAGTATATTTACCTTGCTGGTTTCAGCTCCACCCACATTTTTTGATATCTATCATGATTTCTTGTTCAGATGGAAGTGGGTATTGAGGACTGCCTGCACATTGAGTTTGAGTACAGCAAAAGCAAGTGGGTATTTTTTGGCTAAATGTAATGCTAAGGAAATTTTCATAAACAAATGGGGTATGCTATACTGTACTCCAAAGGTCATCCACCTTAGGCTCTTGGAGATTTAGCAAATTGGTTCCATTGAAACCTGCAATTAATCTCCACCGCCTGTGAATGGGAACAGATCGTGGATGCCCTTTTGGAGTACTGTGTACCATACTCCACTGGATGATGCATAGTTTTCCTTGTGTTTTTCTTCATGGTTTTTCGTCTTCATTATTGATTCAAGGTAATATGAGGCCACTGAGGTTTCGGCGAGTGAAGATTTTTCCTCTTACCATGTGTGCATATTTTGTAGATATCATTTGAAGGATGTTATCGTTGGAAAAATCTATTTCCTTCTTGTTAGAATCAAGATAAAAAACATGGAACTTGAGATTAGAAGGCGGGAATCGACAGGGTCAGGGCCTAATACATATGTTGAGACGGAAACCCTAGCCAAATTTGAGTTGATGGATGGTGCTCCTGTCAGAGGTACAGTCAGCTACATATGCATTCAGTTTGCAGGCCTATGTCTTGTGCAGTTATATGCATATATATCATATGTTGATGCCTACGTAGATATGCACATGCATACACACTCATATCTCATGCATAGCTGATCTAACCAATTGCCGGATGTGCATTGCATGAAAACACTGATGAATAATGCATTCTATATTGTTGAATTTTTTTGGAAAATTCTGTAGTTGTGGCATTAAAAAATTAAGTAATTTTGATTCAAATTGGGTTTTGAATTGAATGTGGCAATTGATTGCATTGCCCTTTCAAACAACTCTCAAGTGTTTCCTCTTCATTTTATCACCTGCCTGCTCTTGATGCTTTTCTGCCCTTCACTGCCTTATGTCTAATTTGCTTTTTACATCTTGTTATAATGCATCTCCTGTTCAGAAGGAAAACACATTTCTTCTTAATTATTTCCTCAAAACATTTAAAATTTTTCTTGAAGATTTTTTAGGGAGAAAAAAAAGAAATTGATATGTGAAGTTTGATATAAGTTACAAGAAGAATATGATTCATACAAGTAAAATATCAAACTATGAGAAATATATTTATTTTTGGAACTCAAATATATCTCAATTATGAACAAGTGTATAAGAAAATTCAGTTCGGATCTATGTTAGGGAGAAGTTTAAGGAGAAGAGAAAAGACATCCACATTGTTTTTAATGATTAGGAAAAGCATACAATAAGGTACCTAGATAGATAATTTCATAGGTGCTTGAAAAGAAAGGAGTCTCAAAGGGGATATATTGACATGGTTAGGTATATGTACAAGGGAGCATTAATTAATATAAGGACAATTTGGGGAGAGACAAGTGAATTTTTAGTGATTGTGGGCTTACATTGGGGGTCTGCATCAAGCTCATATCTCTTTGGTTTGGTTTGGTTTTGGACGAATTAACTGGGCATATGCAGGATGAGATCCTGTGGTTTATGTTATTTGAGGATGACATAGTTTTGATTGACGGGTGTAGAGATGGTGAAAACGCAAAGTTGGAACTTTGGAGGGATGCTTGAGTTTAAAGTTTTAAAATTAATTGTACTAAGACAAAATATATGGAATGCAATTTTAGTAATAATAGGAGCAGAAACGAGGAATTAGTTAAGTCTGATGGCCAAGAATTGCCTAAAAGAGGATTATTTTCGATATCTTGGGTTGTTAATCATGAGAAAGGAGAGATTGATGACGATGTTTATAAAATTAGAGCTAAATTAGAGCTAGGTGAATAAAGCGAAGATGTATTTATTAAGTCTTATGCGATCATCGCATGTCAGTGAAACTGAAGGAGTTCTATAGAACTGCTGTACAATGTTGTCAGATTCGCTTCGGAATTTTCTTCAATTTGATGAGAAAAATGAAGCAATTCCGTGCTTCGTCTGATTCAGGAGAAGACTTTGGACTTTTTTTTAAAAAAATAATATATATAAATTAAATATTTATATAAAAAAATAAAAATTATAAATAAAAATTTCAAAAAAAAAAGAAATACATTTTTATAAATATTTAATTGCTTTGGCCGAAGAGGCCGAAGCTTCAGCCAAATGTGACCGAAGCAGATTGAATGTGACCGAAGCGGTAGCACCAGGCTTTGCTTCACTTCAGTTTAGGCCTAAAATCCGAAGGCTTCAGTCTCTTCGGATGAAGCGAAGCGAATTTGATAACACTACTGCTGTAAGACCAGGCATACTTTATAGGACGAAATATTGGGTACTTAAGAAAAAACATATTCATAAAATGAGTATAGCTGAGATGATGATATTGAGATGGATAAGTGGCAAGACACTGATGGATAGATTTCAAAATGAATGCACTCAAGGGAACTTAAGGGAAGCCCTATAAGTGATAAAATTTGGGAAAATAGGCTTAGTTGGTCAATGGTCTGGTCATGTGCAGCGTTGACTACGAACAACACTGGTATGAGGGGTGATTTGGTTCAAGAAGGCTCTAAAAAAAGCAAGTGGAGGGCCCCAAGGGACATGTATGAAATTGGTGAGAAAAGATATGGTGACTTATAGTGTAACTAAGGTATGACCCTTGATAGAGTGGAATGGAGGAACATGACAAATAGTAGAGATAAGCTCGGCTGATGATGATGATGAGATACTTTTAAAATGTAGGGAAACAATTTTTCTCTCTTTATTTCTGCTTGTTCTCTACATATGTTTTCACATTTTCTTGCAACTGTACCTTTCCCAATTACCAAATATTTTTCCATATTGAAACTGCGGAAAATCCTTGGGAGCAATAATTTTCATAGTGTTGTACAACAGGGTGGTATAGGAAAAGACAGCTCTTCCCATCCCAGTCTCTTGACCAGTAGCCTTGACTAGTTTTTTTTGGTAGATTTAAGAGGTATATTAATGACTACTTTTGAATTATGCGAGTGCAGGTGAGTCGATCCCTATTCGACTGTTCTTGAGCCCATACGAGCTAACACCTACATACCGTAACATAAACAACAAATTCAGCGTCAAGTACTACCTCAACTTGGTCCTCGTGGATGAAGAAGATCGCCGCTATTTTAAGCAGCAAGAGATCACTGTATACCGCCTCCAAGAGAACCAATGATCTCCTATCCCAAATAATCTTGCCTGCCGATATTTGCCTCTTGGCTCATCTTTTCTATCCAATTCTGTGTGTGTTTCATTGGTGGAGCCTAAGAGTCTTGTAATTTTTTTATATGGATTTTCATTTTTGTTGTGCTTTTTTTTTTGGTCTCATTCTTCTTGGACGACGATTTATTTTACTGAATTGTGTTTGTGAATACACTCTGAATTTCAAATAGCTGGAAATGACCGTCAAAATGAGAAATTAATGGTGATGCGGACCAGAGCAAGCTCGAAACTTAGACTGAGGGCTTTTAAATAGGCCAAGCATTGATTTGTTGTTGAGAGATTAGAGAGATCTTGCTCTCAAATTGATGTTATATGGTCATTGGTCTTCGAAAGCTTGTGTTATCGAGATTTTTATTCTATTCCTTGAACTTCTACTTAATTCTACGAGCTAGATTGGTGTTTGGCCTCTTGATCTTTCGGTAAAAGCATGGGCGGTGATGGATATGGATGGACCATCTAAGACCAATTTTGGAACGTGTATTCAATACATTTGGATGCAAGGCCCTTGATGTCGTGGTAGAGAAAGATTCAATAAATGTTGAGTGGTGCCTGGACAGAGAGTGCTCTGGCACCTATCCCTATTGTTTGACAAAATCAAGGATCTCTGATCTTTGTGATGTTAGAGAACTAGTGTCCGTTTGTATTTTTAGGGAGTATAATTCATAATATTAGAGAACTAGTGTCCGTTCATATTTGTAAGGAGTATAATTCTGAAGGAGATTCCTTGGCAGGGGGCGGGGTGCTTCCGAACCAATTTTGGCAGTCAATTGGTTCTGAAACTATTTGGTTTGACAGAGTTATATGTTCATTCATCATACATGCTTCAGGAAGTTAATGGAGAGTCGAGGGGGTTTGAGAACCAGTTTTGGTAGTTAATAGGTTTTGAAACTCTGTATATTTGTTAACAATTTTGTCTGTTCATTATACATGCATCAAGAAGATTAATGGAAAGTCTCAAGTAAACACTGAAAAAGGAAAAGATGCAGAAATTCTTATGATGCTTAACTGGGCATGTCTTGCCATATCTTCATGGAATGTAATGGACTTCCAAAAAGCGCATTTCATAACAATGGCTTTGGACGGAAACTGTCCTTTTTGTATCTCGTATAAGTTCAATGGGATGATTGCAATTTAATGGGCTACTCTCCCGAACCTAGGGGTGGCAACCAGATCCGACCTAGGACCATACGGGCCAACCCGACCCATGTTTGGTTATGGGTCCAAAAATTGGATCCGGCGGGTCGGGTCTAGATCCAATCTTGGACTCGAATACTATTCAAGTCTGGGTACGAGTTTGGATCTCATATTATATTTTTGGGTCTCAATTTATAAAATGGTGCAGTTGGCATATGGATGCATCCGTAGTTGTAGAACTAAGGTGCACCTTCAAATTTTATCATGGTATATAATTTTGATATAAAATGTTTTTAGGATTATCTCAAAATCTATTTTTATATCTAATTATAAAATTTTAAATTTAAAAAATGATTAAAATCAAGTAGATCTATGAACATATGAAAATCTTGAAAATGGACGGTGTAGATAATATGTCGTAAAATGCACTATTTTTTAGAATTAAAATCTTTTTATTTTTCATGATCATATATCTCGATGTGGAGATGATCGGTTTTTCAACATTAAAGCTACATTTTCCAATGGATTTTTGATGTGCATCCGTAGTTTTACATAAGGTTGCATCCTTATATAAACCTTTTCCTTTATAAAAATATATAATATACATATTTTGATTTTTGGGTGGGGTTCAATTGAGTCCGCTTGGGTCCAGGTTCCATAATATTTTTTTCGTGACCTGATCCATTGCCACCCTTGCCCAAAGCCAACCTTATAGCATTACTTATGGCCCCAACAAATCTATTGAAGGAGTTTATTCATTTTTAGAACCAAAAAACGATTACACAGATTTTGGTAGTGGGTTTAATTGTGGATGGATTAAACTAGACTTTCGTTTTTTTTTTCTTAAACATTGAGAGGCCAGTCCCAAGTTTGGACAAAGGAGGAGGCTTGTGTTAGGTTGGCCATCAGCATAAAATTTTTTTCACATCTATTTCATCAATATGATGTAGAGAGAGAAAGTGGCCCTATTTCAAATATTTGGTCTATCCATATGGGGTATATGATTGCATGAATAGATAGAAAACAACAAATATCAAATTTTTTTTGGCTCAAATGACTTGTGCTATAAAATTTCAAAATTTCAAAATCAACTACCTTTCAAAAACTGAGACAAAATGGATCAAGGGTACGGTTTTGGAGAAGTAGGGATATTTTGAGAGAGAGTATTTCATGGTCTGGATATGTAGTAGGGTATTTATACTCAATCCACGATACGTATTACTTAAATTCAAAATCCACTATCCATATTTAAGCAGACAGGGATGATACTTAAATTCAAAGTCCACTATCCATATTTATGCAATAAAAGAGTGATAAACTACTATCTTCTCTTTTACATGCACCCATAGGCAGTAGCAGTTAATTATATCACTTCCATAACATTGAAGATGAATTTCATCACTCAAGTACCGTATGAATTGGACTGAAAAAATTATTGTGCTTCTTTTATTTCTTGATAAAAAGAATTTTTGTTTGAATGTATATACAAATGATTTTTTTTTTTTTGGGGTAATTAAGTGGGGAAGACATGCCCTTACCTGTTTTTTTAGATAAAAAGTTTTTTTCAAAGCGTGAATAGGTTTAGATGAATTAAGGAGTTAACGTTTTTTAAAGTAGTGGTAACAAGATTAAAAACAAAAATATAATAACTGCGTATGGGGGTGCCAACATCACGACCCAGCCCCTTTCTTTATATAAAGGATTTCCTCTTACTCATTGTACTCGTGATTCTCGTGATAGTTACTCGGGATTCATATTGCACTTCAATAACGACTTCGCTACTTATTAGAGTTGAAGTGCTCACTAATCTCATCGCCATTGGAGCCAGAAGGGGCTGTATAAGACGCGATTAGTCCGGAATTATGACAAAGAAAAGGTGCCTCAATAATGTATATATACCAAGTACAATGATTCAATTTCAATCAATGTTTTAAAACCTAGAATCGAGTTTTGGGGTGCTCACTAACTTTACCGATCTAGATCGGCTGAATCAACGATTCTAATCAGCCAAGTTGTTAGCATATTGATTAAGAAATTTATCAAAAGATTGGTATTTGGTGATTCTGGATTGCTGACCCACCGAATCCTACCCCGAACAGTAAAATCCGGATTTAGTACCAACACCATGGGTATTTTCGTCTTTCTCGTGGCATAGCTAAACTTACTCTTAGTTTAAGCGCAGTTCGCCTCTGATAAAACCTATCTGATTTTATCAGAAGCCCTGCAAAACCCTAGGCCCTAAAACGCTTCTCGTTTTGTTCTCTGCAAAAACCCTTTTTACTCTCTCGAAGCAATGATTCAAGGGGGCAAGAACCTTGTTTACAGGCCTCCAGCCTTCTCAGGCGATGGCAAGAGATTGCTTGTATGCACAGGAAACACAGTCTCTATCTATGGGACCTCTACGGGTTTATTGGTATTCCCTCAAAGCTGAAAAACCAGAAGATTTCACTGTTATGAGACACTTTCTATTCCTTAGTGTAATTTTTATGGGTAATTTGGGGTTTCGATGAAGATCAGTTTATGCATTGCTCTGATTTCTATGCTCATTTTACTGTCTGAGCCGCTAGTCCGGGTTTTTGCACTGACTGAGATTTTATGGAGATTAGGGTTTTTTGTTTGTGCTCATTCAAACTCCAGAAAGGAGTCTAAAATTGTTTTTGACTGAGAGGATTATGATCTCCTTTTTTTACCCCCATTTTGTAGTCTAGAGCTAAATTGCTTGAGTGCGTGAAATAGGAAATGTTTTGAATTCATTGTTTCATCTTTTTTTCTCCACATAAATATGAGAAGTTGTTATTTTTTTTAACAAAGTTAACTTTATACATATAAGATAGAGATTTACACACAGCATCCCACAATTTGGGTGCTTGGTATACAAGAGACAAAATAGAGAAAAGGGAGAGCAAGAAATAGGTGGAGAAGGAGGTAGCTATTAATGTGAGAAGCAATGATTGGAATCCCTGCAATACTATGTTATATCTTCAGTTTTGGTGTAGCCAGTAGAAATTGCTGGGCTCCTGGAATGTAACTAGTTAGACGTATGGAATTTTATAACAAAATGATTTAAGCTCTAGAAACATCAGGTTCTCTACCAAAGTAAATAAGTGTCATTATTTTTTTGATAAAAATCAATATATGTATATATAACTATGAGAAAAATGTTTGAATTTGTGTGGCAAGTCATTTAATTTGTCGAACTGTATTGTTTCTCGAGAAGTTAGCCCTTAAGTTTACTTTTTTCTCTAGTCTAGAGCAGAAAGCAAGTAATTAAAGTAATTATGTTGACTTAGCCTAGTCTTTCTGCATGAAGATATTTACTTCTCTTTTTGTTATGAAGGTAACTCGTTGCTTCTACATTTGTGATTAGCTGTAGTCCTTATCAAATTGAGTCACTGAAATACTTGGATATCCTCAGAGCTCAACTTTTTTTTTTTTTAATACATTTGATGCCCTTCAAGCAATGATCTAAGCACCTTCTAAATCATGAAATTCCTCAAAGATTATTTCTTTTCATGCAGAATTATAAACTTATTTTCTGAGATCCTATAATCCTCTCAAGCTATGGGCCTTCTCATTTCTTTCCTTTCTATATGCTCCCATTTGTTAGAACCCTATAAACATATAAACTTTGATAAAGATAAGGTTGTTTACATGTATTTTTCTCTTTTCTATCTTTAGATAACAGAATTGGTGGGTCATACAGCAACTGTCACCTCGGTGATTGTTTTACCAGTTGCAGCTCCTGCCAGCAAAATTGCTTCCTACTGTTGGACTTCTTCATTGGATGGGACAATCCGGTATTGGGATTTTTCTTCCTCACAGTTGATAAAGACATTGGAGGTTAATCATTCGATCTATTCCATGGTAAGAACAGATTTTTTTTTTTTTGTGGATGTATCGCTATAGGTTTTTAGAAATTTTTATTGATGTCTATAATCAGCTTTTATTTCTGTTATCCCTAATTCCTTATTACTTTGCCATTGCTGAATTCTCCATAAATGGAAGTATGGAACATTGGTAACATTTTCGCATGCTGGCAACCTTCCTGCAAAGATACTTGAGCATCGTGTGTACATTTATCCTTTTGAGGCAGCTTGTTTTGTTTATCCAAATTGGATCAGGAATGTCTCTTGGTAGTGATCTTCGGGGACTACATTCTATTTTGTTGTTAGCTTGGGAGATATCCTAACAAACGGCATATGATAAGATGGTTGAACAATCACAGGTTTATAATTTACGTAGTAGTTCATCAGTTTGTTTGACACTACATTTTGATAATACGTGAAATCTTAGATTTCAAGTTGTACACTGATGAGTTTTTTTTTTTTCCACTCTAGTGTCTTTCATGCTCGTTTGTAGCTTCTGAATTCAAGACCTTTAAGTTAGCTTGTGAACATAATCTTGATTCTTCACATTCTTGAAAAAGTATGTTTCTTGGTTAACTTATTCATCACATGAAATAAATTTTTTTCTCCTTTCTTTTTTGATTGATAGTAGAAACTTTTTAAAGAGTTTATAATATGAAGACATGGGAATCCAAGAGATGTCAAGGTGGCATCTCGATAACCTAAAAGATCTGGAAAAACGTAAATACCACCCCTCTATACACCTTTATTAGCGTGTGTATCAGCAGTAACATTTGCTTCTCTCAAACCATGGTAAAAGAGGCACCAAGGGGATGCTGTATAGCTTGTTTCATGAAAACTAATTGCCAATCACCATGGAGAATCAGTGCTATTCCTCACCCATTGAACAACATTGAGGTTATTGCCTCCAGTGATGATCAGACCTTCCACCACTCTCAACCTAGTCAATGAAGTCCTTGCTTCTGCCATGTGGGATTAAAAATCTGTAGCCCCACAACTCTGATGCGACATGTGGCCATACCATATAAGCTTGAATCATCTCAAAGAAGCCCTCCTTTCGCCCTCATGTTATTCAAAAGAACCTGCTATTGTGCTCCCTCCAAATACTTCAGAGACTGACCATAATACTTAGTCTCCATAATGGGCCCTTTTTGGAGCACTGGCGAGGAAGATGTCATTATAGCCACCAGTGTTTAAAAATTCGAACTTAGTCTGTCACTGCCAAAACCCAATCAATTTGCCTAGTTAAAGAGCTAAACTCTGGAAAACACAGAGGAGTTTTCACAATTTGTGAAAATATTAAATAGAAGTAAAAGAGAAGTGTTTGTAATGGGACTCGGGCCCAGTTTGTCACTAACTCAAACCACATTCTTATCATATCAGAAAATGCAATAAATGTGGTAGAACAAAACTAAAAGCTGTATATAACCAAAAACTGAGGTACATCTGATGTTTCATTTATAAAACTCGACAACTAGTTAATTTGAGTTTACTGAGCTAGTTATTCTGAGTTGCAAGTAAGGTTTTATTCACTGGTGACCAATGTGGCAGATGGGTTGCCCACACCAACCTGTAAAAGATCAAGCGTAAAGGACCAAACATCCTATGCAAATCAACAATGAATAGTGAGATGGTCCACTGACTTCGTCTCCTTCTGGTCCATAGTTTACATGTTGGGTACTTGCATTCCTCTTTGCTGAAGACTTAGGATTTTTATTTTGATGTCCAAAATGACTGCTTCTGTCCTATATATAGTGTTAGCCACTTAAAAAAAAAATATCTAAATACTGAGGTGACCAATTTGGGTGATCTCTATAATTCTGCATGTGGTGTTGTTCACGCCGGTCATATGGACTTACAAGTCTACCAGTTCAGGTAAGCTAGCTCAGTCAACTGAATTTGACAGACATTACGATGGCCTGTCGGGTATTTTCGTTTCAACAGATATGGATGGTATATCCTATATGTTAGATATGAGATTCGCACCCGAATTACTGGCATGGTGAACTGGATTGAAATGAGGTGAGTTAGGTGAATTCTAGAACTAGAAGCAAGTATTTTCTTCTGATACTTCCCTTTTTTGTGTGTCTAATATCCATTGATCCATTTTAGGTGTTCCTTGAGGACTTGCAATGAATGATTTGCCAACTCTAGTTTTTCATATCCAATGGTTATTTTCTACGCTGAGTTCTGTTTCTTAACTCATGTGGTGATTTTCTTAGTTCTCTTCAAATTTTGAAAGGATATTTGGTAAGTTTTAGTAGCTGAATTTTGATTGAGCTGGCTCTGAGTACCACTATTGTTGCAAGAAGGAATTACACTCTATGCATCCTGGTCTTCTATGTATCCTTTTGTGTGTGTATGCACTGCACTTGCGTGCATGCATGCATATGAGGACATTGAGAGGCTTATTTGGTTATCTTGCCTATAGAGATTCCAAGTTTTCCAAGTGAATGTTTGTAGACATGTTCATTCTTTACCCGAATAAGAGCATGTTCCACTTATGCTCCTTTGTGCATCATGTGGCGTTACACAGGTGATTCCTAATATATCTGGCCCACCAGCTGATGATAATGGGGAGAAGGGGGATCTTTATGCTTTGATTTCAGCTGATTCTTCAAAGTCATCGGCCCAGCAGAGAGGGTTGTCAGGACAAATTCTGGTCTATAACTTGACGAAGTCAGTGCTATTAAAAAACACTGTTTCAGAGGTATGTCAATATATTTCATTTTTTTAATTTTTCTCGTTGACTTTTGGAAAACTACATCTGAAGCTGCAATTGGAATTCTGAATATGGCTATAAAAACTTCCAAAGCTGTTATGAATTTGTTATCTGAATACCCAGTATGATCTGCATAGAGTTTTATCTTTGCTTATGCAGAATTTTATATCAATAAAAACTTTATATTTATTTTTTGGGTATCTGTTTGTATGCATACAAGTTTGAATTTTATATATGTTGCAGTAAGTTTATCATTTATTTGGTATTGTTATGTGGACTTTATGGTCAGCATAAAATCACAAGTTGAAATACTTGATACCTGTTTATGGTGCCAAGATGCAAATTCTGCATAGATTCTAACTCATCCTGTTGTTGGCTTGAATGAAAAGCAACATCAGTATTTCCTTTTCTGAATCTTTACTGTATTTACTCAAAGATATGCTTATATGCATCACGTGGTTGATATGGAACATTCAATGGTTTCTCTTCAGATGAATGTGGGAGGTATATTCTGTCGATATGCATTGGCTTTTTGATGAAAACGATGCTCATCCATTTCTCTCTTTGGCTTGATAAATGATGGCAATGTTCTAACTGACAAGAGTGGTATAACGGTAGAATATCTATCAAAAAAAGGATGAATATTGTAAACATTTGGAAAAAATACTGGCATCAAAGCTCTCCCCCACTGGCATGGACATACTCGTGTAAATCTTTTCTTGAATTGGTTGTAATATTATGTATTGATGTTTGATGATTGTCAACAGTGTGTTCTGAAATTGCAGATTGTTCTTGTAGGGTATTTCTTACTTTCTTTCTTTTCTTTTCTTTTTTTCTTTTTGTTTGTTGAAACTTTGGCTTCTGCTTTTACTATAGTTTGAACCATACCCCCACAAGTTGCTATACCTCTTCTTAAAACTTAGAATTCTCATGTTGCTGAACTTTCTTGTTCTGCGTATGCAGACATTGAAACCAGAAACTCTTGTTGGCAGCTATTCTGGGGAATTTGTTGGCATAGTGACGGCTAGAAGGCTTCTCATATGGAAGCCCCCCCGGAAAAATACAGATTGGGTAAACCTTGGAAAGTTTAGAGTACGCCTGCACCACACAAAGTCATTCACAACACTAGCGTTTCATCCTTCTGAGAGGATCGTGGCTGGCGGTGATATAACTGGAAGAATTTTGATATGGAGAGGATTTGGCAAACGAAGATTCGCAAAACAAAGCTTAACTTCAAGAAGGGATGTGGAGAATGAGGAAGAAAGACCTGGAGTGAGAGGTAATGATGATGCAGAATCCTGTGCGACATGGCACTGGCACTCTACCGAAGTAAAATTTCTGTCTTTCTCTTCTGATGGAGCATATCTATACTCAGGTAGATAGACCTGCAGAGTTTTATCCTCCTCTGAGTTTGATTTTCTATTGGGGCTTAGGTAACCTAGATGTCATTTTCTTTGATTTATACAGACTCGTATTGCATTTAATCAATAGTAAATTTCATTTTTGCTTGTTTGTTACTGTTGCAATATTTAGATTCATTCATATTATGTTCTTGATTATTATAATTCAGGTGGAGGTGAAGGAGTTCTTGTGGCATGGCAGCTGGATACAGGAAAAAAGACATTTCTTCCACGATTTGGATCTGCACTGCGATACTTTGTGGATTCTCCAGATCCTTCTCTTTCCTCTGTAAGGACTTTGGACTTAAATTTTCATGTAACTTAGCCTTGTAACTATCAGTTATTAGAACTGGCAACCCAATCATTGGTATGGTTTCTGTTTATGAATTGTTATCTTTACCAATAAAGCTAAAGGACAAGTTCTATAGGATAGCTGTGAGACCAGCTTTGCTTTATGGGGCAGAATGTTGGGCGCACAAAAAACAATATACCCATAGAATAAGTGCAGCGGAGATGTTGAGATGGATGAGTGGAAAGACAAGAAGGGATAGAATTCGAAATGAATCTATTCGGAGAAAATTTAGGTGTAGCACCAATAGGCGAAAAGATGAGAGAGAGTAGACTTAGGTGGGCTGGCCATGTGTGACGCCGACCCAGAAGGATTGAAAAGGGCAAGGGGTAGGCCCAAAAAGACATGATTGGAAGTAGTCCGAAAAAATATGGGAACTTACGACACCATTGAGGGTGTGTTTGATAACAGGAAGTTAGAAGAGGAAGAAGGAACTTTACCTATTTCTGTTCGTGTTAAGTGTTTGATAAAAAGTGGAAGATAAAATGAGAACTCCCTTTTACTGATGAAGTTC